TGTCTGAGCTGGTGCTGGATTTCCCTTTCCTTTAACCTGATCTAAACAAGTATTCCCCTATGTGTTCTTTCACTTGCTGTGTGGTCTTATGCATGCTTGAACTTGTCTCTTGCTTTTCTTCAGGGACATTTTCATTTCTAGACACTTCTCTTAGCATTCATCTTTGTTAGGAGGGAAATGCCATACAGAATTGTACCCAATACTGCATTCCATCAAAAGGGTTGACTTGATCCTATGAATTAGGAAAATCAAGATAGTAATCTTAGTGTCACTGTCCCTGTGAAATAGAGTTCCCACTTCATATGCATAATTTGTAGCATTACAAATCTATTTTTAAGAAGATAGGACAGTAAATGTTTAATATGCTGTACTTTTTCTTTTCTGCTCCTGCTTATATTTGACAAATAGTATCAAAAGAGCACTGGGGTTGCGAAGTCAAGCATTAAAAGGTAAGGAGATGTCAGGAATAAAGTTGCACAGGAAATATAATTCTTGTATTTGCTAACTTCTGAGCAACTGGCTCAGCAACATAAAGAGCTACAGTTTTTAAATGAACAATTTCCTTTATTTTTTCTTAAGCAAACTGAAAAAGCAGAAAATTGATCATGCATTGTGCTATTGACACCCACATGGGTTTATCAGCAAGGACAGAACCTGGATATATATAGAGAGAGTGACTGAGATGTATAAAATCAATTATTAGGGATATATATATATATATTGTGTGTGTGTGTGTGTGTGTGTGTGTGTGTGTGGTCTTTTTCTCCCTCTTTTAACTCTTCATCCAGTCTGACTCTGTGCCCCAGTCTCCCTTCCCAGTCGATTGCAGTCTCTTTTGCATCTCCTCAGATATGAAGCCTCACACTGGCTTCTTGTCTCAGTCTTTCCCCAGATTGCCTGTCATTGTCAGCCCTGCCCCTGCACAACTGACTTCCATACCTTTCCACCTCCATTTCTCCTATCAGGTCCTAGTCTGTGCCTGCCTAACTGGTTCCAGTCTCCCTTCTCTCTGTTAGGATCTCATTCCTAGTCTCCTATCTCCCCTAGCCAGTCCCAGCTCTATCCCTCTTCAGCCTTACCGTGGTTCTTGTCTCAGACTCCTTTACCTCTTCCTGATCTGGTTTTTGGGAAGGTCTGGCTTGTTCCCAGAGCCCTAGACAGAAGCATGCTCCATCAAATCTTACACAGCTGGGGTGGCCTATACTTAGAGCAGTAAGAGGCATATAAAGCATGCTCAGAGAGGGGCAGACGTTGGGGAATTTTGCTGCCAAACCCAAACAAGTCTAATGAGCATGTGCAAGCTGATTTCCTCCACACACACACACACACACACACACACACACCACTCTCCAAAACCATAGACGTTGCCCAAATTTAAGTGTGTATGAGGACAGCAATAGGCACGTTGTTGATGCAAAGGACACCCACGACTAAATTTTAAATCCCCTTCTCCCAAGCATCAAGGCATTAGCTGTTCACAGAAAAGTTGCCAGTATTGTGTAACCCCACCTGCCAGTCCTCAATTGCAGGTGAAGCTTCCAACCAGTGGGAAACTGAGCCGGGGCTGGGAAGCTTCCAGGTATGGCTCAGTTTCCTACTTCCAGTTTTTAAATATTACAATATTGTTGTTCAGTCATACACATTTACACTCCAGTCCTTTTTAGGCTGCTTTTACACATTTATGCTTTGATCCAGCAAATATTCGTGCAAGTGGTCAACTTGGTTACATGATACGTACCTTTAGTTGTATAAAATTAAAAATGTGTCTGACTGGATAATAAAAGGCACTAAACATTTTTCAAAAGGAGGGTGGGTGTCAAAAGTGGTCCATCCATTCTTTTAAGCTGATCAAGTAAATTAAAGTTGATAGCATGTATCGGGTCTGTTTGGCTTCTGAGTTAGGCCTAGGGATGCCCACCCTCCCCACTATATATGTAGCAGTGCACAGCAGGCATGCCCTGCTACACTGCATGCAGCACTGTAAAGCAGGGCCCCATCCTGCTGCGCCATGAGCACCCCCATTCCATTTATTTTGTGCCAGTGTCTTGCAGTATCCCCCGTTCCCCCTCAGTCACCTGGCCACAGGCTTATGTGAACCATATTATGGTTCCCCACTTTGCCCACTGGGCAGTAGAAAGGGAGCCTGGAAACTCATAGAATCATAGAAGTAGGGTCGGAAGGGACCTTGTAGATCTTCAAGTCCAACCCCCTGCCTGGGCAGGAAGAAAACTGGGCTCAAATGACCCCAGCCAGGTAGGCATCAAGCCGCTTCTTAAAGACCCCCAGGGTAGGAG